CTCCTATATCGTGAGCAGAGTCAGTTGAGGAGGCAGAGCATGACAGCACAGCAGCATCATCAGATCTTTCAGACGTAAGAGGAGCCAAAGGACCAGTACCATCTCATCATTCAAGCTTACCCCCACCACTGTGGGTCCTCATGTGCAATTAGAAAATAAGGCACTGGGTGAAGAGCACAGCACTAGTGAACAGAAGGAGGTGATGTTGGCAGAGACAGCTGTGGGCAGACCCCTGAAAGGATGAGGACCAACATCACCATGCCCTGCTGGGCACAGAAGCAGGATCTTATAAGTCAAAAGAAAAACAGCAGCAAGAGATGTGTGCCCACATATTGGAGTTCCCTGGGGCAATACAGAGTCATGGTCTCTGAATAGTGGAGCACATTCAGTCCATATGCAGCACATGGCTCAGGGCTTTGAATGCATGAGCTGCTCCATGGACACTGTGGCCTGCTTTATGGAGAGCCATATACAACAGCATGAAGAGTTCATGTAACAATAGTACCGTGACCTACAGAATGATCCAATCAGTGGTGCTCAAGGCACAAAGCGGCATGGAGACTTTATATCTCAGCTGGTGCGCCCTTCCAGCCATCCAGAATGAGACAGTCACCAACAAGGAGGAATGTACCAATACCTATCGAGTGCCATCGTTATCATCAGCCACTTTCGTCCTTCTGACAGAATGATCATCTATGAAACAGGGCTCAGTGATGGAGGCATTGACACCAGTGCAAGTATTCTTATTGACACCTCTACAAGGAGACGACCACTGTAGACATTATAGCTGCAAACAGACATGGGTAAATAGGCTACCTCCATCACATCCAAGGCCACACATAGAGTACTGTGAGAAGTGACCCAGAGTGAAAGCCCCCACATTACAATGCAGTGAGTCACACACCAGGGCTTGTTTCACTTGTAAATGTACAACTGGTAATAGATTATTAAAAGTGGAAGGTTGAACCATGATACTAAACTTTAATGACGTGATTGCAAAAGAAGGAAGATTTAGTGAAAGTATGTTGTTGTTTCTCAATGGGGCTATTGAAACTGCTGGAGCTGTACTACAGGCATTCGCTGTAAAAGTGGATCTATTTAAAGTTGTGTGTTCAATAGATATGCTCTCACAGGCAGATATGTTCTCACAGGCAAATATGTCCTCACTGCAGTCCTGCTGAGTGAGGAGTGCTTGAATGAACTTGCCTGGGTCAGTAGTAACTTGCTGTTAACAACATCTTGATGAGAGCTTTGTCACCTGATGCAGCCTGGGCTACCTCCCTGCTCAATATGGGCTCCTTTCTGCCCTGCATCTTTCTGAACCTCTTCCTCAACCTATATTGAACTGTGTTGATCTAACGCTCCAGCTTCTTCAAGTTCCATGCCTTCCTGGAGGGCTAGCTTACAGACAATGCTGCTGACTAACACAATATGTGAGTTTACTGCAGGACATCTGGTCCAAATGCTGGAGCTGCATCTTCAGATCTTGCAATGTGATCAGATGGCTTCAGTTGTAGCCCCTTTGCAATTTTGTATTGGCGTTAGGAAAAGATATGAGTAACCATGTCTTCAAGGAAAATCCCTTGCCTCCTAGAATCTATCCATGAAGTTTTGGTGACAACATGAAGAGCAGCAGCACTCTGGATTGTTGGAGTATATAGAGTCATGGCAGTTAGCAGAAAGTGAGCACATACTGAAGGAGGCTGTAGTCTAGGCCACAGTCCAGCTGAATGTTGAGAGAGTGCAAACCCTACATTCTCACATCCGCCTGCTTATTTGGAACCCTGATGACCACAGGGTATGATTGATATTATCCTATACCTGCCAGGACCCAGTAATGGAGGTTATTCCTTCTGCTGTTTCTTCCTGGACAACTCTATCTGTTTGAAATTGTTTGTACTGTCCAGCTTTCACAAATAGTATATCAGTAACCTGTGGTTTATTGCTTGAGCAATACTGCTAATGTTTGGGATAAACCAGGGTGAAACAATCTACCTGGAAGCTTAAGATCCACTCTGGTGACTGAGTAGAAACTTTTTTATTCGCTTTGCTTACCTAATGACACTTCTGTGCAGATGGATCATGAGTGCTCTTCAGTCATGCAACCATTTATGGGCCCATCTAATTGAATAGTGCAGCAAACCCCTGCTGTATTGCCACCTTCTTCCACTTGGACTGTTCCATGTTCATTGTACAACCCATGTACCCCAGAAAAATAACAACCAGGCCATTAATGAGTTAGCACCAAATACTTTCACAAGGTCAGCTGGCCTTTCTTATGAATCTGGTAGGCTACTGTATCCCACCTTAGCCAGTGCTGAGCAAAAGCACTGACCATCAAAACAGGAAACTGGCACAATGGGTGGTATTGCAAAATGATGTGCCCAACCACTTCCATTCTTGTTCCCACATCAGAGTGGAAATTCTGACCATGGGGTTGAAAATTCTTGTCTGGGCATGGTTGGGAGCGCTCAAAAGGCCTTGCAGCAAAAAATGAGTGAGACCTGGAATCCTTTCAGTTCGTAATGATCTGTGAATGTTTAGAAGCTTGTTGATTTGGGTGTACTCTGCTTAATAAAACTTTGTCCTGAAGCATCTACGCTGTTAGTGATTGAAGCTTTTTTTTAAACTTTCTCCATTGGCCATTCATGTCTTCTTGTATCTTATATCAGCGAGCATTAAGATGGAAGAAACTCTACAAATGCTGGATCCTCATGGGCCATTATTTTTTGTTTGGTTGAATGATCACAGTTCTTTCACTATTTAATGGTATCAAGAATATTAGTTATTCACTTTTAACGTGGCCTTTTATTTACATGCTGTTTTATTTTTCTTGCTGTACCTTAGGAGGTCAGCAACAGCCTCCAAAGTATAGAGTTTTAAAATGTTCATAGAATTCCTACAGTGTAGAAACAGGCCATTCAGCCCTTCGAGTCCACATTGACCCTCCAAAGAGCATCCCATCCAGACTCACCCCCTACATTATCCCTGCATTTCCCACCCTAGACACTACAGACAATTTAGCATGGCCAATCCACCTAACCTGCACATCTTTGGATTGTGGCAACACACAGGGTGAATATGCAAACTCTACACAGATAGTCACCTGAGGTTGGAATTGAACCCAGGTCCCTGGTGCTGTGAGGTAGCAGTGCTAACCACTGAGCTACTGTGATAACAAGGTGCAGAGCTGGATGAACACAGCAGGCCAAGCAGCATCAGAGGAGCAGGAAGGCTGACGTTTCGGGCCTAGACCCTTGTTATCTCAGATTGTTATCTCAGATTCTCCAGCATCTGCAGTTCCTGCTATCACTGAGCTACTGTGCTGCCCCAAGCTGTCATTCAGGCTCTTCTTCTGCAACGTCCATATTACACAACCAAAATTACAACAGAACTAAAGATCACCTCCCAGAATTTCTTTATACACTTTGAAAATTCAGGTTACTGTTGCTTCAAGCATTTAATGCAACATTTTAGTGAAGAAATAACAGTTGGAATGAAAATCAAATCTCCCCTAGGATGATATTGCACAGAAATGTTGATTCTGCCCTCATTTCTTCTCTTCTTTCCTAAAGACACTGGCTGGTTGTTTTTTAGTTCAAGAGATGTGCCAGCATTTATTGTTCATGCCTAATTACGTTGGAGATGAGCTACTTTTTTGAACTGCTGCAGTCTTTGGGTGTAGGGACACTCACAGCACTGTTAGGGAGTTCTGGGATTTTAACCCAGTGATGGTGAAGGATCAGAAATAAGGCTAGGTATGTCCAAGTCGAGATGTTAAGTGTCTTGGAGGGAACTTGCTACCCAACAAGAACTTGAGCCCACCAGTATTTTATCCAAGTAGCCAACTATGAGTTCAGAGGAGTGTTCTCCACTCAGCCTACATCATTCCAGAAAAGGCCCTGCAATATTATCTGTGACAAGACAAGTTGTCAATTTTTCTCTCATTCCTTGACTCTGTTAGTAGTAAACTTCAGCTCTAGGTCACAAAGCCAGGTGTTTGAAGTCCTTACTAGCCATATGAATGAAGACTTCAGTGTAATTCTATTTTCAGTGGAAGGGTTCGACATAAGAAACCTGAAAGAAAATTGAAAGAACTGCAGACGCTGTACAACCGAATCAAAAACAGAAGTTGCTGGAAAAGCTCAGCATGTCTGGCTTCATCTGTGAAGAGAAATCAGAGATAACGTTTCGGGTCCAGTGATCCTTCCTCAGAACTCAGTTCCAGCAACTTCTGTTTTTGACAAGAAGCTGAGTTCCGATTTGCCTTGGTTTGATATTTAGCCAACTGAAAACACGCTGGTTCCATCGCTGTGATATTAGATATGGCCATGTGGAGCAGCAATGTGATAAGCAACTTTAAAACTGATGCTGATCATGGTCCACTTATGATTTGGGAAATTATTCATCCTGTCTCCTGAGATAGAGGCTGTAATTATGTTGCTTCAATTGGCACACATTTTATTCTAGATTTTGAGATATTGGTGGACTGGAATAGTTATTAGTGAAAATAATGCCATGGGACAAATTGGGAAGAGAACTACAATTGTTAAAAAGTGGATTATCTATGCTTTTTGCCTCTTACCATATTCAGCTCAGAATCTGATCAAAATTGACTAATCCTAATGCCAGTGAAAGTTGGTGTGTTTCTATAAACAGGGAACCATTAACTTTTCATGAATATTAAAAGAAAATCCCAACAGTTTTGATCTTTGAATTACTCTAAATGTGCAGCGGTACAAGAAGTGAGTTTAGATGCTGCAAATGATGACAAATTGTAGAGGTAAAGCTTCAGGCACTTAATTCTCATAAACATTCTTAAACTGGAATGTGCCTTTGAAGTAATCAAATTACAAATGGAGACAAAACCACACTGATAACAATCAAGGCAGTGGATCCAACAATCGTAGCGCTAAATGAGTCAAATCTGATTGAATAGGTTACATGAAATACACTGATATAGTATTATTCAAAACTCTAGTTTTTCTTTAAACCACAGGATGGAAATAGAAGCCATTCAGTTGGAAGAAGCCCATGTTCATAATGTTTATAAGCAAACAGCACCATACTTCAATGAACTCCGAAGCAAGGCGTGGCCCAGTGTCCGACAGTTTCTCCTGGACCAAAAACCAGGCAGCCTTATTGCTGATGTTGGTAAGAGATTGCAACAAACTTAATTCTTACCAAATTATTAGTAAATCAGATTCCTCTTAGTATTAGTTGATAGCCTTGCTTTACTTTCCACCTGTGAAGCACCTTGGAATGATATAAATGTGAATTCTGTTAACATAAATGCAAGCTGTTATTGTTTACATTCATGTTCAAGAGACAGATCCTGTCAACAAAATTAATAATTTTAAGCCTCTCCTTTTGTGAGTTGAATGGGTTTTATGGTTTGGACACTTTAACAATGATATTTTAATAATATACGTATGATTTCCATATTTGTTAATATCAGAATCCGAGAATCAAAGAATCCCAAAGTGCAGAAAGAGGCCATTTGGCTCATTGTGTCTGCACTGACAATCTGAAAAGCATCCCATCCAGACCCAGCTCCCAACCCTATCCCTATAACTCCACATTTACCATGGCTGATCCACTTAGCTGACACGTCCCAGGACAACTGGGACAATCTAGCATGGCCCCAACCCACCTAATCTGTGCATCTTCGGACTGTGGGAGAAAACTGGAGCACGCAGTGGAAACCCATGCAGACACAGGGAGAACCTGCAAACTCCACACAGAAAGTTTATGGTTTACATCCTTCCCAGTAGTACTATCAAAAAGGCAACCAAATACAATTCCTGTGTGTCTGGTGCTGTGCTGCAAATGGAATAAGTTAGCTAGCTTTGAACTTGTAGAGAATTCGGGATGGATGTGTTTCAAATGCTGTAGTCAGAAATAGCCTGACACAGGTGGCGGACACGTTGTTGAAGGGAATCCTGAGGGAGAGGATTTACGTGTATTTGGAAAGGCAAGGACTGATTAGGGATAGTCAACATGACTTTGTGTGTTGGAAATAATATCTCACTAACTTGATTGAGTTTTTTGAAGTATTAATGAAGAGAATTGATGAGGCCAGAGCGATGGATAGCATTTGACAAGGTTCCTCACGGTAGACTGGTAGCAAGGTTAGATCACATGGAATACAGGGAGAATTAGCCATTCGGATACAGAACTGCTCGAATGTAGGATACAGAGGGTGGTGGTGGAGGGTTCCTTTTCAGACTGGAGGCCTGTGACCAGCGGTGTGCCACAAGGATTGGTGCTGGGTCCACTGCTTTTTGTCATTTATATAAATGATTTGGATGTGAACGTAGGAGGTATGGTTAGTAAGTTTGCAGATGACATCAAAATTGGAGGTGCAATGAACAGCAAAAATGGTTACCTCAGAGTACAACGAGATCGTGATCAGATGGACCAATGGGCCGAGGAGTGGCAGATGGAGTTTAATTTCGATAAATGTGAGGTGCTACATTTTGGAAAGGTAAGTCAGGGCAGGACTTACACACTTAATGGTAAGGTCCTGGGGAGTGTTGCTGAACAGAGCGACCTTGGAGTGCAGGTCCATAGTTCCTAGAAAGTGGAATCACAGGTAAACAGGATAGTGAAGAATGTGTTTGGTATCCTCGCCTTCATTGGTCAGTGCATTGAGTATAGGAGTTGGGAGGTCATGTTGAGCTGTGCAGGACATTGGTTCGGCCACTTTTGGAATACTGTGTGCAATTCTGCTCTCCCTGCTATAGGAAGGATGTTATGAAACTTGAAAGGGTTCAGAAAAGATTAACAAGGATGTTGCCAGGGTTGGAAGGTTTGAGCTATAGGGAGAGGTTGAATAGGCTGGGTCTACTTTCCCTGGAGCGTCGGAGGCTGAGGGGTGACCTTATAGAAGTTTATAAAATCATGAGGGGTACAGATAGGGTAAATAGACAAGTCATCTCCCCGGGATAGCAGAATCCAAAAGTAGAGGGCATAGGTTTGAGATGAGAGGAGAAAGGTTTGAAAGGGATCTAAGGGGCAACTTTTTCACGCAGAAGGTGGTGTTGATTAGAGTGCAGGACAGACATGTCCCTGTGAAAATGAGGGATAGAAAGGGCAAGATTAGGGAACCATGGATGACAGGTGAAATTGTGAGACTAGCAAAGAGGAAAAAGGAAGCATACATAAGGTCTAGGTGACTGAAAACAGACGAAGCTTTGGAACAATATCAGGAAAGTAGGACCAATCTGAAACGAGGAATTAAGAGGGCCAAAAGGGGTCATGAAATATCTTTAGCAAACAGGGCTAAGGAAAATCCCAAAGCCTTTTATTCGTACGTAAGGAGCAAGAGGGTAACTAGAGAAAGGGTTGGCCCACTCAAGGACAAAGGATGGAAGTTATGCAGGAGTCAGAGAAAATGAGTGAGATTTTTAATGATTGGTATTCACTGAGGAGAGGGACATGATGGATATTGAGGTTAGGGATAGATGTTTGATTACTCTAGGTCAATTCAGCATAAGGAGAGGGGGAAGTGTTGGGTATTTTAAAAGGCATTAGGGTGGACAAGTCCCCAGGTCCGGATGGGATCTATCCCAGGTTACTGAGGGAAGCGAGAGAGGAAATAGCTGGGGCCTTAATAGATATCTTTGCAGCATCCTTGAACATGGGTGAGGTCCTGGAGGACTGGAGAATTGCTAATGTTGTTCCCTTGTTTACGAAGGGTAGCGAGGATAATCCAGGTAATTATAGACCGGTGAGCCTGACGTCAGTGGTGGGGAAGCTGCTGGAGAAGATACTGAGGGATAGGATCTATTTACATTTGGAAGAAAATGGGCTTATTAGTGATAGGCAGCATGGTTTTGTGCAGGGAAGGTCATGTCTTACCAACTTGATAGAATTCTTTGAGGAAGTGACAAAGTTGATAGATGAGGGAAAGGCTGTAGATGTCACATACATGGACTTCAGTAAGGCGTTTGATAAGGTTCCCCATGGTAGTTTTGATGGAGAAAGTGAAGTCGCATAGGGTCCAGGGTGTACCAGCTAGATGGATAGAGAACTGGCTGGGCAACAGGAGACAGAGAGTTGTAGTGGAAGGGAGTTTCTCAAAATGGAGAACTGTGACCAGTTGTGTTCCACAGGGATCCATGGTGGGACCACTGTTGTTTGTGATATACATAAATGATCTGGAGGAATGTATAGATGGTCTGATTAGCAAGTTTGCAGATGACACTAACATTGGTGGAGGAGCAGATAGGGAAGAGGACTGTTGGAGAATGCAGTAGATTATAGATAGATTGGAGATTTGGGCGGAGAAATGGCAGATGGAGTTCAATCCAGGCAAATGCGAGGTGATGCATTTTGGAAG